GCGTCGCGCCGGAAGTGGGCGCGGCGCGCCCCTCTAGGCCGCCGGGAGGACTGCAGCTCTGTGGCGGGCGCGCGGCGCTGGGTTCGGAGGACGGTGTGAGCTGCCCCGCGGGAAAGAGCGCATCTCCGGGTGGGACTTGGTGGGAACAGCCCGGAGTCCAAAACGGTTGACGGGAGACTGAAAGAGGAAAAAAGAAATAGAGATAGAGCTTAGTGTAGCATCAAGGAAATAAAAATAGAATCCATTGGCTGCCAACAGTGACAGTTCTAGACGCTACGGAGAGGAGTGTAGGGGAAGGAGCCCAGGCATGGCGAGGGTGCCAGGCGGAGATCGACCCTACCGCCGACTGCTAGGGCGAGCGTGGGGGGCCAGGGCCGAGCGGGAGAAGGTCAGTAGTGTACCCGCAGAACTCGCTACTCAAGCTTAGCGGTGCGTAACGGAGCGCAGTGTTTCCCACGTAGGGAGCAGCAGGACCGAGAGCACAGCGTGGGGAGTTCTGGGCACGCTGGTGAATTAGGAATGCATTTAGTAACAGTGCAAGCCATTTACATGGGAGACGGCCAGAACTGTACTGTGGGGCAGTATCTGACAGTACTTTGTGAAGTACTCACCCTGATCCTTTAGCCACAGTGAGGACTGTATTGGCAAGCCGACTTGCTTAGAAAGAGACCCCATGGCCTATTCTTGATTGCAAAATAGGTGAAAATCCAGTTTCCAGCAATGTGGGAGCCCATGATTGGGTTAACAAATTGTAACAGACCCCAGCCTCCTGTCTACTTTAAGAAGAACAAATGTGCTTAGTAACTGCTTTGCAAGCAGGCGCCTATGCGTCCGCACTTCTGTCTCCTTGCCATAAAAAGCAGAGACAATGCCTTGTTTGCATAGTTGAGGTTTTAGATAGCACTCTTCTCATTGCAAAGCAAGACCCAGGCCCTCAGCTATAAACACTGGGCTTGCCTGCTGTTAGATAGTCTATTATTCTCAAAACAAGGAACTGGCTGGTCTGGTGGTCTGCTTTAACATATCTATAAGAATGTATCTTGTTCCCCTCTGCCCATGATTTCCCTAAAGATAAACGAAGCCTGTGTACTTATTGTGACTTCTGCAGTCTCGATCTTTCCCTAAATTCCTGCATTTCATCATACAACTGTTAATGATTTTTCCTTTGATTATACACAATAAATGTGGGAGCATTTGAGAGGCTCGTGAAGTTGGCTCCCAACTGCCTCTCGCCCCCTTGACTTTTTCCACAGAGTAGAGTAATTCATTCCATCTCGGTGGGACTTCTGCTGGTCAGAAGGCACACAGCAATTCATGGATTAATTGCTGAGCATTATTTATTTTCAGGGTAGTGGTTCTCAAAGTGTGGTCCCAGGACCAGGATCACCTGAGAACCTGGGCTCCCACATCAGACCTACTGAGTCAGAAACTACGGTGAGGCCCAGCAATCAGTATTTGAACAGAGGCATGCCACTGCTCTGGGGGCAGAAATCAGAGAGGACAGGAAGAAAGTTAAAATGGAAGCACACCAGCAAATCTTACTGATTTGGGGGGCAGGAAGGACGGGGAACAGATGAGAGAGAACTAAAGAACTCACTATGCAATCAGAAAACCTTCCCTGCCCCAGAGAGCTTTCCCGAAAGATGTTTTCCAACATTCATGTCAAGAACCGACAGATAGGGCCAGCCAGGTCCCTCGCTACAGCTAGGCTGGGGCCAGCTCCGCGGATGCTCAGGGGTTAAATCTCGGCATCTCCCCGCCCCCACCTCACCCTGCCGCCTCCCCGCGCGTGCGCACGTGCGAGGTCGCGTGCCACAGAGCTGCACAAGCCTCCCGGAGTCCTAGAGCGGACCTGGCGATGGCGGGTTTGCTGCGAGAGAGGCTTGACGGCGACCTGAGAACACATCGAGGTAGGGAAGGCGGAGGTACTCGCATGGTTTCCACTCCGGAGCGGCTTCACAGCGCCGCCAGAGAACCGTGTGCGGTTTCTTGAGTCCTTAGGAAGTCCAGGCCCCCAGGTGCGGCTCCTGGGCGCTGCGAGCTCCTCGGTTCTTGGCCTAGTGTGCTTTCGGACCCGGTCTGCCCTTGCCCGGCCTGGGGTTCGCCTGAATGAGCACCAGAAACGGGGGGCGGGGAGATCCAGAAGCTGGGATGCGTCCACCCGAACCAGCGGACAGTGCTGAGAAAGGGCAACCTGGACGTGTGAGTGTGGGAAGACCAGAAGCAAGGAAAGAGATCGTTGATGGTGGATCAGGAGTGTCATTGGTGTAGGAAAGACAGCGAGTAACTTAGCTCACCGACAGGACAAAATTCTACAATCTCCTCCCTGTCGTGTCTTTCCAATGATACCTTGATTTTGGTAGCATCAACCTCCTGGTTGTCTTTGAAGGTCTCTAGGCTGGGTAACGGAGAGTGCATGTCCTAGAGGAGTGATGCCTGATTCCTGGATGATGAGAGAGGAAAGTTAGTAAGTTTGAGAGAAAAGCACTTGAAAATTAAATTGAGATTTTGTTTTCTCCTTACCTTCTTTTATATCTAGAGGATGTGTCTGGGGGTCTAGTGTCAGAAATTACATCTCCAGTCTCCACAATGATTCCTTTCCACGCCCAGTGGCACCCAGCTGCCTCTAGGTCTCAGACTCCTACTATGTGGACAAGAAAAGCTTACTGAGGATATGGTAATTCTCCAGTTGCTCCCTGAGGTGTCAAGTGTCCGGTTGCAGTCCATGGAGGGCCAATTCAATGACGAATCTCAAGAACACCGCCCTCTGTCAGGTGAGAACCAGTGTATATCTTTCTTAATGGTCTATGGGCGGTGGGGGATGTTGCCTTGCTACGTTAGTGTGGTCAAATGCTATTGGTATTCCTCCTTGCCTGCGCTTCACTATTTTAGGCAGTGTGATCGTTTTAGTGCTCCAAGCCCGTGGCTTTATTGTGCATTCTGACAATCAAATTCTCCTGGAGTTCCTTTCTCTCTTTAAGCCACTAAAGTCATCCATTTTTTACACTACAGTCACCTTATCACCAGTCTTGTCAATGTTTGGTATTTCCCCTTTAAAATCTTTTCAAGTCATCTTTCTCATGTACTGTCGGGGCGTAATTAAACATTTTGGAATCGGACACCCTGTGTTCAGATACTGGCTTTGTCGTTTACCAGCTTCAATAAGTTAACTTACTTTTTTTTAATGATTGTTTCCACACTTTATAAGTGTATAATAACCTTGAAAGTTATTTTGAGGATTGTGTCTATTACTCCATAATAAAAGACCCCAAAACTTAATGACCTTAAACATCAGACATTTTTAAACCATGTTATTTTCTTACGGTTCTGTAGGTCACCAACTTGGGCTGGGTTCAGCTGGGCAGTTTTTTTCTGCGATCACTATGCTCAACTAGGGTCAGGGTCTAGGTTGGTGTCAATCTTATTTTATGTCCAGCTCTTGGTGCTGGCTGTGGTTTGGGTCCCATATCGCCAGTAGGCTAGCCCAGACTTTTCTGGGGCAGCTAATTTCCAAAATCAGAGGGAGGGCAAGCCCTAGGATGTGTAACCACTTTCTAGACTGTGTTTGTGTTACGTTTGTTAATATCTCATTGACCAAAGCCAAGTCAGCTGACCAGTTCCAGAGTCACTGTGAGAGAACTGCAAAAAGATACAGATACTGGGAGACAATGTATAGATGATACATTTGGAGTTCATGACTGCTCTAATAAACACCACAAGCACTAAGTGAAATCCCTTTATAAGGCTCTGAGCACAGACCTGGCTGGTAGTAAATTCTTTATGAATGGTAGTCACTGTTATTTTTAGTAAGATAATTTCAGTCTTGACTCTGTCCATATGTTCTGCAGGCTCTCATTTCTACATTGTATTTTACTGCTTTTTTATTTTGGTCCTCCCATTATTGCTGTTTTGCCTATGAAATTCACTTTTTTTTTTTAATTGAAGAGTACTTAGTTTACAGTGTGTCGATTTTTGGTGTCCAGCATAATGTTTCATGAAATTCACTTTCTGTTGTTCTTTTTTCTTGCTCTAAATCTTCTGACTCCCTTTGTTTTTGGAGCATCTTTATTTTATTCTGTTTATTTTGTTTCTGTCTCCTGTATTTGGAATTTGTCTTTCCATAAGAGTCTATTCTGAGGCCTCTAGCTCTCTTCTTTCTGGGAATCACTGCAGAATTAGAAGTCATCCTTTTGGTTTTACATAAATTGATATACATATTATATGTGTTTGTGTCAGAATGTGTATAAAATAACTTTTTTTATGTTAGAGTAATATAATTGTACTAAAGTGAATTTATAAAATATAGAAAGGCACAAAACGAAATTTAAATAACCTACAACTCTGCTATCTAGAGCTAGTCACTGCTAACATTAATGTATCCTTCAAGTCATTTAATTAACTATTCAAATACTTACTGTTGATAAATGTTTATTAATAAGATTATAGCCTGCTAATTATTACTATTAGTTATTGAGGGTTTCCTTTGTGCCAGGCACTTTTTTAAGTGCTAGGGATATAGCAGTGAACTGATCAGAGAAGCCTTTGCCCTCGGGGAGTTTACATTCCAGTAGGGGAAACAGGAAATAAATAAATATACAGTATAGTATTAGACAGTAATTATGTTATGGAGAAAATAAACCAGAATGTATCAGTCAGAGCTGCCCAATAGGAGTCTGCTAAAAGAAACACAATTGCTTCTGACCGCTGGCCCAGCACAAAGGGAGCCAAGGTGTAGGGTGGCCAGCTCATCCCATTTTGTCTGAAATTTAGCACTGTAAGTCCCACATCCCAAGAACCCTCTCTGTTCGGGGCGGCCCAGGACATTTGTTACTCTACAATTCTCCTCCTGTTTTTGGCCACATCTAATTGCAAGCCAGAGGGCATGGAACCTCAGATGATGCAGTCCATAAACTGCTGTCAGTCTCCTGGGGCACAGATCAGGGTTAACAGTAGGTCTAGAGAGGCGAAAGTCTATCCCTTTTAACCTGTAGTAACCATTTTTGTCCTTTATCTAGGTTGTTTTGTTCCCAACAGCAGAAAAATGGTCTCTTAAGCTACCATTTCATGCAGATTGACATACAATTAAATTATACTCCCACCTGAAACCTAAAACTTCACTGCCACCAGTGCTCTTCATACAAGGTAGTGAGGAAAAAATACCATATGATATCACACATATGTGAAATCTTAAAAAAAAAAAAAGGACACAAATGAACTTACTGACAAAACAGAAACAGACTCACAAACATAGAAAACAAACCTATGGTTATTGGGGAGGGAAGGGATAATTTGGGAGTTCAAGTTTTGCAAATACTAACTACTGTGTATAAAATAGATAAACAACAAGGTCCTACTGTATAGCATAAGGAACTATATTCAGTATCTTATAGTAACCTATAAAATTAATATGAAAACAAATGTATGTGTATATATGGCCTATATATGACTGAAACATTACGCTGCACATCAGAAATTGACACAACATTGTAAACTGACTATGCTTCAATTAAATAAAAAATAAGGTAGTGAGGAAAAGGGGAAAAGACATAATTAACATAAAATAGCTGCTAAAGTTTTTGCTGTTCACGAAGCCTAAGTTGATACTCGTAACAGTCTTCTTCCGTCACCCATTCCATATTGCCCTTACCCTCTGCCAGAGTCTCGGTGACACAGAGTTCTTTATCTAGTCAGGTCACATAAACCATCTTTACTGGATGATCTGAGTCCTTGGGGGTCTCTTTCAGGTTACTTCAGTGTTCCATTGACAGGGCCTGTTAGGCATGAGAGAGCTAAGATGTAGCCCCACTGAATCCTCTGAGTTCCAGGCATATTCTTCCTTGTTCCTACTATGTAACAGCAACCAGTTACCCATTGGTAATTGGTATCAGCCATTCTGGTCAGTAGCATGACCCATTCTCTGCCTGTTTCAGCAGCTTGAGGAGCCCAAAATGTTGAAGCAGGAAGCAGTCTTAGCTTCAAATTTAACAAAATTATAACTTTTTCCATGGTAGAAGTATTTCTTCTTTGAGAATCAGAACCCCTAACCCACCAAACCCAAGATTATAAGGATAGAAGACAAAATAATAGAGGTGAATTATGAGGTATATAGGTAACATTATTACTACTCTACCACCCTTGGCTCCCATATCCATAGTTTAGGGCCCTGAGGAAGACAACACTCGTTATAGTCCTCTGGTTTAAGGCATACGTTGCATCCCGTACGACAGCACTCCAGACTTACAGGGCGTTTTTACCTAGCTGGTACTGTAAGCTGTCAGTAAGTCATTCCAGCATTATCACAGTCCACTTACTTCCGGGTGATGGGACATGTGGTAAGACCTGGGAATTACATGTGTGTGAGCTCCTGGCTATACGTCCTTACCTGTAGAATGACTTCTTTGGAGATGATTTTGTATAAAATATCATGGTAGTAAATACAGCATTCTCTTAAGGCAATGCAAATTTGTATCTGGACTATGTATTTAGTCCTTTGAAAGCAGATTGCTGTCCTCTCCATGACAGAAGTAATAAACCTGCTCCTCCCCACCCAGTGGCTGCTTAGTTCCTCTCCAGGAAATGGTACCTTATTAGGGGCTCAGTGTGGGCTTTAGCGGTTGGCTTCTTGGGCTCTTAGCATATCGGCCTTGATAAGTGGAGGTCCGTGTTGTTGAGCCCATACATAGCCTCTGTCCCTGCTGCCGTGACCACTTTGTACATGAACCGACTGGGCAAACGTTGGTAAAAAGGCTGATTGACATTCACAATATGGATCACCATGTCCATATAACTGAGAGACTTTTCCACAGTGAGGCTTCTCCCTTTAGTGAGGATTCTTATGGGACACAAACGTATTTATGCTTTGCCCCATTCTAGGAGGTCCATCCTCATACTTTTCCTCCAGAATCCTTATTTCTCATCTTCCAATCTTGTTCTTTCTAGGTGCCTAACTAATCAGATAATCCATTAGTCACTACTCATGAATCAATGTAGACATGTATCTTAGGCTCTTGCTGCCTTCCATGGAAAGTAAATAACCAGGTGTAGGCCTGAAATTCTGCCCACTGGGAGGACCTGCCTATACCAGTTTGTCTGAGGCCACCCCTGTGTAGGGGTGTAAGTGCAAGCTTTTCACTTTCAGCTGGTGCCCACACACCGAGCAGGCCCATCTATAAACCAGTTCTGAAACAGCAAATTGTTATTATCCATTGAAGGAAAATGGAGAAATCATTCATGGTCTACGTCACACTCTGGTGGTGGAACATGAATGGGCTACAGCTACACACATGAATATGGATGAGTCTTCCGAACAAAAAAAGCAAGTCACAGAGTACATGTGGTATAATCCCATAAATGTATAAAGTTCAGAAACATGCTGTATTTGTCTGCTAGGGCTGCCATAAAATATCACAGACTGAGAGTGGCTTAAACAACACAGATTTATTTTCTCATAGTTCTGTGCATTAATTTTGGTTATCCATGCCTTGCTTTCTTCTAGAAGTTTTAAGTTTTAGCTGTTATGTTTAGGTTTGTATTACATTTCTAGTTAATTTTTCTGTGTAACATAAAAGTCAGAGTTAATTTTTGTTATTATGATATCCATTTCTAACACTTTTTATTGAAAAGAGACCATCCTTTTACCATTGAGTTATTTTGGCAACTTTGTTGAAGATGAGTTGTACATACATGTTTGGATGTATTTATGGACTCTGTTCTATTCCATTAATGGTACATCTGTCCTTATGCCAATACCTCACTGCCTTGATTACTGTAGCTTTATAGTTAAAGCTGCAAATCAGGTAGTATAACTTTGCCAGTTTTGTTCTTCTTTTTCAGAATTGTTTAAACTTTTCTGTGCCTTTCTGCATTAAGTTTAGAATAGTTTGTCAATGTCTATAAAAAGTCCTGATGAGATTTTGATTGGTGTTGCATTGACTCCATAGATCAATTTGGGGAGAATTCCATCATCTTAATGGTAAATCTTCCTATCCATAAATGATGGCATATATATCTGTTTATTAGGTCTTTAATTTCATTCAACAATGTTTTATAGTTTTCATTATACAGATATTGCACATTAAAAAATTTTGTTTTTAAGTATTTGATTTTTTTTGGTGCAATTGAAAAAATGTTTTTAATTTTAGGTTCTAATTGTTCATTGATAGTATATAGAAATACAAGCAGGTTTTGTGTATCAGTCTAATAAAATCATTTCCAAGTTCTAATAACTTTTTTGAGACACTTTAGGATTTTCTGTATATATGATCTATAAGTAAAGACAGTTTCACCTTTTTCTTTCTTACTTGTATGTCCCAGTTATTTTTCATGTCTTATTTCATTGGCTATGAATATTAAATAAAAGTTGTACAGTGCTGAATAATGTGCTAATAGAGAGCATCCTTGTTTTGCTCCTTTGTCTTTAGGAGAAAAACATTTAATGTTTAACCATTAAGTATGATGTTAGCTGTTGCTTTTTTCTTTGCTTCTTTACTGGAGTAGTTAACTTATATATAATGTAGTTGATGTTTGTATTTAAATGCACTATCTTATTTATTTTTATTTATCTCGTTTTTAATTTTTTTGTTTTTCTTTTTTCTCCTTTTGTGCCTAATTTTACATTATCAAGTTTTTTCTTTTTCCATTTGTTTCTCTATTAGGTCTTTGTTCATACATCCTTTTATTATTATTTAATGGTTACTTCATAGCAGCCTTTCTCAAGTATGAGTCTGTGAGAGAATTAAGCCCCAATGCTCTAAGGCATCAATTTTAAGTAATGTATTAATCTCTTTAACATCTATTTTACTAGCTATGTACATCTTTAGGAGAATTGAGAAAATAGTGACTCAGGTTATTTTCTGTTTTAGTTTCTTGTGGAACCCTGGTTGAAAAAAGGCTGCCTTGGAAATTATAACATACACATTTGATTTATTAACAGTTTATCTTACTTTACTATCTCTAGGATAATACAAAAATCTTGTAATATTTAGTTTTATTTATTTCCCTCCTCTTGTGCTATTTTTGCCATGTATTTTAATTCTATATATATTGTAAACTCCACAAGACATATTGCTTACATCATTCTGTACATACACATTTAGATTTACCCCATCCTTCACTTTTTCCACTACTCTTTGCCTCTGGCAAAGAGAATAAGCCTCCACTTGGTGGCTTGGGATTTTGGACTTCTGTCCTTGTAATTAATCTGTGCCATGTTTTCAGCTCTCTACACCATTTGCAGCCTGACGGTGGAGTGCCTTTTGTACTAAACACCACTTAACAATGGGCGATAGTCAAGAATTCCAGTGGCGCGCCTGTGCTCCCTACCGTTACAGGCCTGGTGTTGTTGAACACAGGAAGAGCCTACTCAAAAATCAACTCAAATGAGGCTTCTGATTCTATCGCCCTAAGCTTTTTCTGGTCTGCACACTTTAGTAAGGAAGTTTGGTCATTGAATATGGCTATTTCCAAAAAGGGATTGTGTTTTCTTGGCCACTTCCTTCTAATAATTAGGACAAAAGAGGTGGAGGATTACATAGGCCTACTTTGAGAAGTCAGGATTCTTTCCTGACCGTTCGTGGGCATGATGCGTCTTTCTTTCCCCTAATGGCAGCGTGTGACCAGCCTGGTTGGTAGACACTCACTCACAGTGACAGCCTGGCTGCCACTGCTTCCTTCTCCTCTCCCTCCCTTTCTCTTCCTTCTTCCCTCCCCCCACTTCTCTTTCATACTGCTTACTTTACAGATGTCAATACATTGTTTATGTATTAGCTCTAATTTAGTCAGACTTTTCTAGTCGCTGTGATTAGGCTCAGTGTTACCAAATCTCCTGTGACATATACAGAATATATCTGGTAAACCACTTCAGTAGATGGTTATTGTGATCCATAATTTGCTGATTCTTCCCAGTTTCCCTTCCAGTGTTTTGGAGCACTCTTAGACTGTGACAGCATTTTGTAGATAAATACTGATCTGTTTCATCAGAAACTGTCTTACAGTGTGGAGAACACATTCCATTTGGATGTTGTTTATTGTTCTAGATGGTGAGACTGAGGCCAAGATTGGAGAGCTGGCTTCAGAGGAGGAAATTACAGGAAAAACTGAATCATTAACTGAAGAGTCTGGCAACCCCAGAGATGATGTTCTCCAAGATTCTGAATGCAGAGAATTCTGTGAATTTGGGGGTAAATTAAATGAAAATGATCAGAATCTCTTCAAAAGAAGACAACATAACTGTGATGAATGTGGGCAAAGCTTTGCTTTGAGTACAGGCCTTATTAGGCATCAAAGAACCCACTGGGAGAAACCTTATGAATGTGATAAATGTGGAAAGACCTTTAGTGTGAGCTCAGCCCTGGTTCTGCATCAGAGAATTCATACTGGGGAGAAACCCTATCCTTGTAATTGGTGTATTAAAAGTTTCAGTCGGAGCTCAGACCTCATTAAACATCAAAGAGTCCACACTGGTGAAAAGCCTTACAAATGTGATGAATGTGGGAAAGCCTTCAGTCAGAGCTCTGATCTTATTATACATCAGAGAATCCATACAGGAGAAAAACCTTATCAGTGCAGTCATTGTAGTAAAAGTTTTAGCCAGCGCTCAGACCTGGTTAAACATCAGAGAATCCACACTGGAGAGAAACCTTATACATGTAACCAGTGTAACAAACATTTTAGTCAGAGTTCTGATGTTATAAAACATCAAAGAATCCACACCGGTGAGAAACCATATAGATGTGACGTGTGTGGAAAAGCCTTCAGTCAGAGCTCAGATCTGATTCTGCATCAGAGAATCCACACTGGGGAGAAGCCGTATCCGTGTAATCAGTGTAGCAAAAGCTTCAGTCAGAACTCGGACCTGATTAAACATCGAAGAATCCACACTGGAGAGAAGCCATATAAGTGTAATGAGTGTGGGAAAGCTTTTAATCAGAGCTCAGTCCTTATTCTGCATCAGAGAATTCACACTGGAGAGAAACCCTATCCGTGTAATCAGTGTAGCAAAACCTTCAGTAGACTTTCAGATCTTATTAATCACCAACGAATTCATACTGGAGAGAAGCCTTACCCGTGCAACCAGTGCAGTAAAATGTTTAGTCGAAGATCAGACCTTGTTAAACATCATAGAATCCATACAGGTGAGAAACCCTATGAATGTGATGCGTGTGGGAAAACCTTTAGTCAGAGCTCGAACCTTATCCTACATCAGAGAATCCACACTGGAGAGAAACCCTATCCATGTAGTGATTGTGCCAAAAGTTTTAGTCGTCGCTCAGACCTTGTTAAACATCAGAGAATACACACTGGAGAGAAACCATATGCATGTAATGAGTGCAGTAAAAGTTTCAGTCAAAGCTCAGACCTCACTAAGCATCAGAGAGTACACTCTGGGGAGAGGCCCTATCATTGCGATAGTTGTGAGAAAGCCTTCAGTCAGAGTTCTGACCTTATTCTTCATCAGAGAATTCACACTGGAGAAAAACCGTATCCGTGCACTCAGTGCGGCAGAAGTTTCAGTCAGAACTCAGACCTGATCAAGCACCAGAGAATCCACACTGGGGAAAGACCGTATAAATGTAACGAGTGTGGGAAGGCTTTCAGTCAGTGCTCAGCTCTTATCCTGCATCAGAGGATCCACACTGGGGAGAAGCCTTACCCATGCGATCAGTGCGGCAAAAGCTTTAGCCGGCGCTCTGATCTTATCAACCATCAAAGAATCCACACTAGTGAAAAGCTGTATAAGTGTGATGCTTGTGGGAAAGCCTTCAGCGCGTGCACTGATCGCGTGGAACGCCAGGGAATCCACACTGGAGAGAAACCCCACAGGTGTGTTCAGTGCAGCAGAAGTTTTAGCCAACTTTCTGATCTTATTAATCATGAGAAAGTCCACCCTGGGGAAGACACTCTAAATGTGATGAATGTGGGAACACCGTTAGTGTATATACACCAACTTTATTCAGTACCAGAGACATTCTGCCAGAAAAAAATCTTATGAATGCTATTGATGATTATGAAAAAGGTTTAAGTCAGTGCTCAACTCTTATGCTACATTAAAAACGGGGAGGGTAGAGCTCAGTGGCAGAGTGTGTGCTTAGCATGTAGGAGGTCCTGGGTTCAATCCCCAGCACCTCCACTAAAAATAAATAAATAAACCTAGTTAAACCCCCCCAATAAATAAAAAATAAGGAAAAAAAACACACTGGAGAGAAAACATACTAATTCAGATTTTATAATGAAAGTTTAGCTCAAACATTACTAACTTAAAAAAATTCTGAGGAGGAATCCTGTGACTTGTGGGAAAGCCTTCAATGTGAATTAAAGTTTTTCTGAATGTCAGCAACAATGGAAAGAAATTTCTATCTTCTGGAAAGAAATTTCTGTCTTCTACATTGTGAGAAAAGCTCTAGTCTTTTATTCAAACACAGTCCATAAGAGGAAAGCTTTATAAGAAATGTATAACAGTATTAACGCAGAGCCTTATCAGGCATCGTAGAAATCACCGTGGTGGTGTGTGCAGTCAGAACTCGGAGGTATATTAATATTCTAATCTCCAACCTACAGTGAACCCAAATCACCTACTGCATATCAGAGAAATTACTTTAGAGAATAAACTAAATTTATTAGAGTTAGTTTACAGAAAAACTTAACCCTTTCCATATCTTAATTGGCATTCATTCTGGTAATGGGTGTGCCACTTACCTCTTTGCAGCTTGAGAGCCCTACCTTATGCTAACACTGCTGGTTATCATTCCTGTGTGTGTGAACATGCTTTGCTTTCCTGGCATTAAACTTATTAACTACATAACTCCAGTGCCCCATTTTCTCAAAGATCCTCTTTTTTCGCCTAGTTTTGGTTTTCCTAGTGAGTATGAGTTTTCAGGTTCCTGTGATGTTCACAGAAAATGCGAACTTATTTTGCTGTTAATCATGCAGCCCATCTGTAAACTTAAGTGGTTTGAAATTACTCCTTTAACACTACCATTTAATCACAGCTTCTAAATATGTGAAAAAAATTTTTTAAGAATTCCATATGTTAAAGTGTGAAGATTACTATTATGTTTATCTTGTCATCTATAGATGGAACAAAAACGTTAGCTAAACTAATACCTGTATGACTAATTTATATAGCATATTCTATCTAAAAATAAAAAGACCTATTGATTTTTTTAATAGTAACATTCATTGGGCTTTGTTTTGTCTGTTGATTTCTGACATACATATTGATAATAGGCTACATAGATACAAAGTTCTCAACTGAAAATAGAAAAAAAACTTTTAAAGAAAAAATTGCCTTTCTGGCATTAATCATTTGTTAAAACCCTGCTACTTTCATTTACTTTGAAAAAATCCCCCATAGTTATCCAGTCAATATTTTACTTAATACACATTAAATTATGTGCAAGGCATGTTTTTAAGGTTTTGTAGTATACACAAAGAATATACTGTCTCCAAAAAGCATGTATTGTATAGTGATAAAGAGTGATGTATACAGAAACACATGGCTCGATACAATCATAAAGGTAGATAAGATGCTTATAAGAGCTCACAGGAGGTAGGGTTCAAATCGGATTGGAAAGAAAAGAAAAGCTTTGTGGAACTCCTGAGATTTGAGTTTTAAAGGATAGGAGTGGAGGCATAAAGACAGGGAGGAAATAGTCAACAAAGGCCCAGACGCAAGAAAATAGAAGAGATGATGTAGATTATGGACCTTAGTCATTAATTCATTCAATAAATATTCATTGTACTGAGTGCTGCTGAGGGGAAAATGGTTCCTGCCCTCATGCTCAAGTGTTTATGAAAAAATTGTAGAGATGGTGTTGATCGTTGCACAACAGTGTGAATGTACTTAATGTCACTGAACTGTACATTTAAATGGATGAAATGGTATATTTTGTTATGTATATTTTAGCTCAATAAAAAATTTAAAGAAATATCTCAAATCAATATCCTAAGTCTCCATCTTAAGAAACTAGAAAAAAAAAAAAAAGAGCAAACTAAACCGAAAGCAAGTGGAAGGAAGGAAATAACGAAGATCAGAGCAGAATCAAATGAAAAAGAGTATAGAAAAATAATAGAGAAAATGAATGAAACCAAAATTTGGTTCCTGGAAAAGATCAATAAAATTGACAAACCTTTAGCTAATAACTAAGGAAAAAAGAAGACTCAAATTACTAAAATCAGAAGTGAGAATGGGAATATTATGACTGCTCTTACAGAAACAAAAAGGATTCATAGGGAATAGTATGAACAATTGTATGCCAAAAAATTAGGTAAACCAGAACGGACAAATTCCTGGAAAGATATGACCAAAAATGATCCAGAAAATATTTAAAAATCTAGATAGATGTGTAGCAAAGAAACTTACTGAATTGGTAACCAAAACATTTCCCACAAAGAAAAGACAGGCCTAGATGGCTTCAGTGGTTAATTCTATGAAACTGTAGCTATAAGAATTACCACCATTTCTTCAAAAAATCTTCCAAAAAATAAGAGGGAATACTTTCCAACTTATTCTGAGGCCAGTATTACCCTGATACCAAAACCAGACAGACATCTAAAGAAAACAGGCTAATATCCTTTGCGAATATAGAAGCAAAAATCCTCAACAAAATACCATCAAACCAAATCCAACAACATATAAAAAGGATCATATACTGTGATCGATTGAGATTATCACAGGAGTACAAGATTGGTTTAACATTTTTAAAAAATCAGTCAATCACCATATTAATCAAATAAAGGACAAAATCCACATAATCACCTCAACAGACTCATAAAAAAGGAGTCTGACAAAAACCTAACATCTCATGATAAAACCAAAGCAAAAATATTCACATGTAAAAGAATGGAACTAGAACCCTATCTTACACCACTCATAAAATTAACTCAAAATGGATTAAAGACTTAAATGTAAGACCCGAAACCACAAAACCCCTAGAAGAAAATACAGGAAAAAAGCTCCTTGGCATGGGTCTTGGCACTGATTATTTTGGATATGGCAGCTAAAGCACAAGCAACAAAATGAAAAATAAATGAGACTGCATCAGACTAAAAAGCTTCTGCACAGCAAAAGAAACAAAGTGAAAAGACAGCCTACAGAATGGAAGAATATTTTCAAACTGTATCTGATAAGGGGTTAATATCTAAAATATATAAAGAACTTATATAACTCAATAGCAAAACATAAGAAATACTCCAATTTAAACATGGGCAAAGGACCTGAAAAGACATTTTTCCAAAGATACACAGATGGCCCAATGGTACATGAAAAGATGCTCAGTATCACTAGTCATTAGGAAAATGCAAATCAGAACCATGAGATATCACCTCATGTCTGTTAAAATGGCTGTTACTAAAAAGACAAGACATAATAAATGCTGGTGAAGATGTGGAGAAAAGGGAAGGAATCCTTGTGCACTGTTGGTGGGAATGTAAATTGGCTCATCTGCTATGGAAAAGTATGAAGGATCCTCAAAAATAAAAAGATGGAATTACTATATATCCAGCACTTCCCACTTCTAGGAATATATCCAAAGGAAACAAAAACACCACTCAAAAAGATACCTGCACCTCTGTGTTTATAGCAGCTTTATTTATAATAGTCAAGCTATGGAAATAGCCTGAGTATCCACTGACAGATGAATGGGTAAAAAAGTTGTGGTATATAAATACAGTAGAATATTATTCAGCCAAAAAACAAGGAAATCCTGCCATTTGCGACAATATGGATGGACCTCGAGGGCATTGTGCTAAGTGAAATAAGGCAGGAAAAGAAAGACAGTTGCCGGTGACCTCGCTTATATGTGGAATCTAAAAAACAAAACAAAACAAAACAGCAAAAACAAAAACCAGATTCATAAAAAAAGACACCAGATTTGTGGTTACCAGAGGTGGCGTGTGGGGGTAGGGGGAGCTGGAGAAAGGTGGTCAAAAGGCACAAATTTCCAGTTACAAAATAAATAAGTATTAGAGATACAAAGTACAGTGTGATGACTATAGTTACCACTGCTATATGATATATATATGAAAATTGTTGGGAATAAATCCTAGGAGTTCTCATTACAAGGAAAAAATTTTTTTCTTTTTCATTTCTTGTTATTGTATCTATATGAGATGATGGATGTTAACTAAAGTGGTAATCATTCCACGATACATGTAAGTCAAGCCTTTATGCTGTACACCTGAAACTCACACAGTGATCTATGTCAATTACTTCTCAATAAAACTGGAAAAAAAAAACTTCAACAAACTGAAAGTAGAAGGCAATTTTCTCAACCTGATAAAAGACATCTATAAAAACCACAGGTAACATCATACTTGGTGGTGAAAGACTGAAAGCTTTCCTCCCCAGAGATCAGGAACAAGACAAGGATATTCACTTCTGCTGCTTGTATTCAACATTGTACTGGAGGTCATAGCCAGCGCAATCAGGTAATAAAAAGTAAGGAAAGATATCCAGATTAGAAAGGAGGATGTAAAACTAAGTCTCCTTGTAGGACATGATCTTGTGTAGAGAGAATCCTGAGGGAAACACACACATACACACACACACTTAGAACTAATAAATAAGTTTCAGCAAGGTTTCAGGATACCAGGTCAGTATACAAAAACTGATTGTATTTCTCTTCATGGCAGTGCACTGTCTGAAAATGAAACTAAGAAAATTCTTATTATAACATCAAAAAAGAAGAAAATACTTTGGAATAAATTTAACAAAAGAAGTTTAAAATGCATATTCTAAAAACTACAAAACAGTTGAAAGAGGTTAAACATAAATAAATGGAGAGACGTCACATATTTATGGATTGGAAGATAATATTAAGATTTCAATTCTCCCCAAATTGATCTACAGTTTCAATGAAATTCCTATAAAAATCCCAGCAGGCTTTTTTTTTCCAAAATTGATGAGATAAACCTAAAATTCATATGAAAGTTTTTATGGAAGTGTAAGGGGACCAGACTAGCCAAAACAATTTTGGAAAAGAAATACAAAGTTGAGGACTCACACTTCCCACTTTCAAAACTTACTAAAAAGCTACAGTATTTAACATTGTGGGGTAATTGGCATAAGGATAGACATAGAGATCAATGGAATAGAATTGAGAATCCAGAATTAAATTCATACATTTCTGGCCAATTGATTTCTAGCAAGGGTGGCAAGACAATTCAGTAGGTAAGTTATAGTCTTATCAACAAATCGTGCTGGGAGCAACTGGAAAGCCATACGGAAAAGAATGAAGTTGGGCCCCTACCTCACACTGTGTTCAAAAATTAACTTAAAATGGATCAAAGACCTGCATGTAAGGTATTCTTCCATAGACTGTTAAATAGAAAATGGAAATTAAGGTGGTGAAAACAAACAGTTTCTTTAAAAAAGACAGAATAGAAGGAAGGAAATAGTAGAGCATGAATTAATGAAATAGAAAGCAAACATTAAAAAAAGAAAAAAAGCCAGAAGTTCATTTTTTGAAAAGAATAAAATTCATAATCCCCCAGCACATCTCCCTAGGATGCCCATCAGGCCTTTGATCACTCCAGCTGTCAGGGAGCTGCAGCTAAGCCTCCAGGGCATGTTAAAAGGAATCTCTTTCCATCAGGTGGATCCAGTTCCCTGGCAGGCAGACTGAACCACCTATCTACAGTATCATACAATGTATATTTATCACTTACACTACACTTCTCCAGACAGCATGTTTGTTATTTGTTTATAAGTGTGGTTCTGTGTAAATATTTTCATTAAATTTTATTTAGTCTGCTTACTCGATGTAGCTAATTACATGGCGGGGGGTAGTGGAATTCCTAGACTGTCATTTGGTCCAGGGGATCCTATGCAAAATTCCAAAGGCACGAGAATGTTCTTTCCATGTAAGCCATGCTGTAGGGGGAAAGTTTCCATCTAAATCAGGGATTTGCAAACTACTGCAGGAAGGCCAGCCAGCCACTGTTTTTGTAAATAGTTTTTTTTTAATTTTAATTTAATTTTTATTTTTTTGTAAATAGAGTTTTAATGGAACACAGCCTTGCCTGTTTGTGAGTTATCTAAGGCTGCTTTCTGCTACAAAGGCAGAGTTGCATAGTTGCAGCAGAAACTGGCCCACAAAGCTGAAAATACTATATTTCCCTTTATAGAAAATGTTTGCTGATCCCGATCTAAATGAGAAAGAGAAAAAGAAAGTTCTCTTTTTTTAACTTTTTAAAATTTTTTATTATAAATGTGCTGCTAGCTTATTGTGAAAAAAAATTGGTAATATATAAAAGAATAGTCATTTATCTCCATAAGCCTACTTAGCAAAGTTAGTATTTTGATGTGTGCCATTCTACATATGTATTTGTGTACTTTTTTCCAAAAATGATACTGATAATGGTAATTGAAAATTGTCCCCATTGGTACATCGTAAACATTTTACATGTCCGTAAACATATCCCTTCATCATCATTTTAAATATGACGGGGGGGGGTATTTATAATTGCTTTCTCAATATTCCTTCCTCCACTTCCCTGCCACAAACATTCTCAATAACAGCACCTTACCCTGATTTTCCTTTAGTAATTCACTCTCCCTTTCTGGGTCATTAAGTTTCTTTTAACTCTGAATTTTGAGATAATTTCAAAGTTACAGAGAAATTGCAAGAATAATGCAAAGAATTCCTGTACACACTTCACCCAGATTCCCCAAGTATTATGTTATCACATCTGCTTTATAATTCTCTACCTGCTCTACCCAGATATATATCTCTGTCCCTAAATCTAAATCTGTGTCTATATCTGTGTTAATTTTTCTGCTGAACTGTGAGAGCCAGTTGCAGACACAGTGCCGTGACATAGTCTGACTCACAATCTGGCTGCTGTGCGGAGAACTGAGTGAAGCAGGGCAAGGGGAAGCAGGGAGGCTATGACCTGAGCAACTGGAAGGAGGAAACT